CACAACGTTCCTATTTTGCTTTCATTCCATTAAAGTTATTCCAAACTTTGGAATGAAAGCAAAGGAAATTAATGGCATCAAGCTTATTTAGATTTCAGCTTATTTTTTCTCAAAACTTTGATAGGATATGAATGCATATCTAGTTTGTTATAAATTTAGGGATGGTAATTGAATAAGCCTTGGAAAATATATTAGTTGGATATAACACAATGTTCCTTGATGATACACATCATAAATACATTCATGCACGTATGCAACATCATACAAGCATAGACATAACAACCAAGCCCTCCCATACACTACAATAGATATTGCCTAAATAATAGGAAATTCTTCTTTGCAGGTGTTAAAAATAGAGAGACCAAGTAAATAGAAGAGAAGGCCCGATTGTATTGTTTTTGTGTTAATGAAGGCCACAGTACACTATTTATAGGCAATCAAGTAATCCCTAAGACGCCTGTCAAGAGACTAGATAGAAACGAAAAAACTAATCATGGAATATAACAAAGAATCAATATTTTTCTAATAGAATTAAATGATAACCAAAATAGAGCATATTAAGGAAGAAAATAGGTTCATATGGGAGATAGTTTGGGCAGAAATTCCATCCCCCACCTTCAGGGTAAAATCAGCTCGTATGCGCCAAAAGAGTTAGATTTGGTTGTTGAAATTTTGATCATTATTTATGGAATTGATACTTGATTGATTTTGATAGATTCCTTTTGTTAAATGGTCCTTACATTCTAATGATCAAGCATTTTTCCATCATAGGAAGGCGGGTTAATTGACAACTTATAAGGTGGTTGATTGACAACTTATAATCTGGGAATATATATTGATAATCCTTTGCTTAGAAATAAGAATATTTGATTGAATTTGATTTGATTTAGGGCTGAATTCTGTTGGGCTTGGATCGAAAGTTTGCAATGAAGCATATGTGATACAACCAAAATTTCTAAAAATATTTTTGAGGGATCTGTCATCGTAGCAAAGGGATTGAACCTTAAAAGGATACATACTTGAGATTCTCCACTTAAGGCATTTTGCCTACACTCGATGATCAGAGCTCGCTCCTCTTTCTTCTACTGCTGCTCTGCCTCTGCTTCTACCTCTGCTGTGTCTCGATTAGAATTAGGGTTTTCACTGTAAAGATTTTCTTATATCAACCGAGTTATATGTAAACTATCAAAACTAACCCGTCATGTATTTACTTCTTTGCCCTGTCCCAGCTTATAAATAAACAGGCTTACTATGTAATAGATATAACAGAAATAAAATTATTTTTACTTGGCTTTCTTCAGACTTGTTCACTGTTCTCCTATTCTTCTTCTTTATCTCTTTGTCTAGTTCATTTCTTTATATGGTATCAAAGCCATAAAAACCTCTTGCAAGGATGGATGTATACTCTTTTACATCTACACAAGAAGGTCAGCAAGATGCAACACATTTCAACATAATCAAGGGAATCAACAATTCCTAATGTCTTATATCAAGAACATTGCCATTATGCCTCTTACACAGGAAAACTGTTTAGTTTGGAAAATACAGGCAGCAGAACTTCTCACAGCAAATGGATTCGATATCTTTCTTGAATGCAGCACCCCTCTCCCACCCAAACTTATCTCTGATGGAAATGGGGTTCAATTTGAAAATAAAGATTATCTTATGCGGCAATTAATTGACAAGAAGTTTGCTACCGCCATCTTTTCCACCATCACCCCTTCCATTCTTCCCTATATCATCCACCTCACCTCCACCACCAAAATCTGACAAACACTAGCCAACAATTTCAAGCTACAAACAAATCATGAGTCATTTAATTTAAGAATGAACTCCACAATATCACCATAGGCACCAACACCATGACATAATATCTCATGGTAATAAAAATTTGGTGGATAACATGCCTGCGGCAGGTTCTAAGATTGACACAAAAGATATAATTTTCTACACTCTAAACAGGCTACCACACAGTTACAAAGATTCAAGGCAGCCCTCTGCACCTCACAAACTCCAATTACCTTGGAGGATAACTTTCAAGATGATTTTCAAGATGATTTTCTCCTAGGCATGTGTAGGGATAACTTTCAAGATTATTTCTCCTGCTTCTCCATGAAGAGGACTGCGAAAGAAAATCTTGGATGTCCTGTAAGGCAGGGTCGGGGATAATTTTCAGGATGATTTTCTCGTACTTCTCCACATGAGAAGATCATGAAAGAAAATTCCAGAGGTTCTATTAGACAAGGTCAGTGATAACTTTTAGGACAGTTTTTTCCTGCTTCTTCATGAAAAAAGACAAGTAAAAAAAAAGGAAAATCTCAGATAACCTGCTGGGGACAACCCTTTTTCTCTTCTCCTCATTCTCTCCCCCTTTTTATTCTCTTTCCTTCTCCTCCCTCTTCTGAATTTCCCCATCTTGTCCTCTATTTATGGGATAAAAAGTCTCACTTATTGATGACAAATAATAATAATAAAAAAATAGAAATTGGCATTAGTTATCTTGTCCTTTCACATTCCGTACTAGAACTTCTGTCTTTTTCATTCCAAATTCATAAAAAAAAAGAGAATGGACAACCATAAAACAAAAAGTAAAATTCCCTTCAAATTCCAATCGCGAAATCAATTCAACCCAATCCATCGAATTCCGGACGGTTCACCGGCTGCAGGATCAAGGCATTGTTTGAGGAGCACTTATTTCATCCAGAGACCGTAGACAGAGCTGCAAGCGGAGTCGAATGCAAGCTCGCCACGTGGAATTATGGGACCCACCGCAGCAGAAGGTAAAATAAATTAATTAAGACAGGCGTCCCGACCCGTCTGAAACCCGACCTTGCCCAAGACGAGAAAAAGTGACTTTTTGTCCGTATAGAATCCCGCCAAAAAGCCTTAATGTCCCACTTTATGCCGCCACCAATCCACAACAAGAGGATTTTGTCAAGATGGTGCGTTGGATTTCTCCGGAGACGAAATGGAATCATTAAATAAT